AGTGTCCCCAGTGCTTTTTTCTATTCTGGCACATTTTGAAAGCGTGGACAGCAATTTGATAGAAAAGAGTTAAAAGTTTGAACGAACGCCTTAGATTTGAGTGGACTGGATGGAGAGAAGGGGCCACCCGGTCATTGCGAGCACATGTTTGCACTGTGACAACGTGTTATTGTTCATTGTAGTGACAGCTTGGACATTGGATCCAAGTATTTTAAAACTGGGTCCGGCCCTGGCTGGTGTGGCTCAGTGGATAGAGCGTCGGCCTGCGGACTGAAGGGTCCCAGGTTCTATTCCAGACAAGGGCACATGCCCAGGTTGCAGGCTGGATCCCCAGTAGGGGGCGTGCAGGAGGCAGCCAATCAGTGATTCTCTCTCATCATTGATGTTTCTATCTCTCTCTCCCTCTCCCTTCATCTCTGAAATCAATAAAAAGTAAAACTGGGCCCGTTTTAGTCGTAGCCTAGGAGGAAAGGCACAAGACCTGGGACGGTGGGCAGTGATGGGCATGGGAGGGCTTTCCACGCTGCGCGGGTGGCCAGGGAGGTCCAGAGGACTCGCTAGCTGGATGCCAAGGGGAGAGGGACCGTTTCTGAGGGGGTGGGTGGCTGGAGGCCTCTTGGTTTCCGAGCAGCAGAGCCGTGTGGCTCAGCATCGACGCCCAACAGTCTGGGTTGGCGGGCTGCACCTGAACGTGTCCCTGCCTGCCTTAACCTCCACCTTTGCACACGTGTGCCTCTCGGAGGCATGCCCTCGAGGGGCTTGTTGTAACCCCGGCTCCCGTCCGCGATCCTGGACGTTCACAGAGAGCGTGGCTCTCCCGGAAGCAGGCAGCAGCATCCCTCGGCCGTGTGGCACCTGGTTCGTGGCTTGTGAGGGACGAGATGGCCCGGGGCCTAGACAGCCTTCTGCACCAGCTCGTTTTCAACAACGGACCCCGCCCTGGTGGCTCAGGTGGTGGGAGCATCGTCCTGTGCACCAAAAGGTTGAGGGTTCGATTCCCAGTCAGGGCACATACCTAGGTTACAGGTTCCATCCCCTGTTGGGGTTTGTGTAGGAGGCAACCATCTCTCTCTCCCTTCCTCTCTCAAACCAATGGAAACATGTCCTTGGGTGAGGATTTAAATAAGTAGATAAGGAGGAAGGTAGATAGAGATAAGACCTGGGCCTGAAGCTTGCTGTGCCGTCTGTCCTAGGTTAAGTGGCAGAACAGGTCAAGTGCAGCAGGGGCTTGAGGCCAGAGGGCGTGGTGAGCGGCCTCCTGCTTCTGGTCAGGCCCGTCACATGTCCCCAGGAGGAGGGAACATGGTCTGGGGTTGATGGGAGACACCAGGACACCAGTGACGATGGAACTGGGCGCTCACTCTGGTCCTTAAACAGTCGCCGATTTCCCCCCTGAATTCCATCTTTTCCAGCTTCTGTGGTTCCTCTCTGGGTTGGGGGGATGGGACAGAGAATCCCTGAGCCCAGACCTTGTCCAGCAGCCCTGAGGCGGCGCTGTTTCCCCCTCCCTGCCCTCCGGGCGCACGCACTACTGTCCCTGCCATCCTGCCCTCCTGCCCAGTGGCCTCAGCCTCCCGGCAGCCCTGACCTGGGGGGTCTCCAGGAGGTTTCAGATAGGGGAGTGGGCGTGGCTCCGTGGCTGAGCATCGACCTAGGAACCAGGAGGTCACGGTTCGATTCCTGGTCAGGGCACATGCCC